GGGAACTTGCCAGCCTTATTCAAGCCTGGGCCCAGAATTCGTGGGATCTGCTTGATCAGAGACTCCGAAGCCAAAAAGGCATCGTACTTCTTGGCTGGTAAAGGAAGGAAGCCGTCGGATGCTTTTAGGATCTGAGTCCTGCAGGCAGACCTCCAGGAGGGGCTCTGCGAGCCCGTCACAGACGCGGCCTCTAACCAGCACACTCTACCCCCGCTAGGTACCAGTCTATGTTTAGTTCTCTCCTCGCTCCAGTTCGATCACCTCCATCCTCTGGACTTCTGCAGCAACGTTCACAAAGCCCAGGCTGACCCACACAATTCGCGATAGGAAAGGCACACTCTGGTTAAGCCTGCCTGGGTTCAAGGTCCTCCTTCCTACTTTCTACCTCCATGACAACGTGCATCCTGGTGCTCAGACCACATCAAGAGTAGAAAGAACGGGAGCTGTAGGTGGAATTCCACTCCAGAACCTGGCAGCCCCGAGACCCGTCAATTTAAGAGCTCTCAGCTGTTTAGAAAGACCCACCGCCTGGCCCATCCCTTCTAAAACCCAATCCTCAAAGCAAACTGCGAAGAACCCTTACAAGGCTGAACACCACCAGGCAAATTCACCACCCGCAGCACAGCCTCTCCCCCGTGATTCCGGCCCTTCCGTCACTTTAAAACCCACGTGGCAGAAACGCCCCTTCCTCCCCGCCCCGCGCCGCCGCTCACCCAGCTTCTTGACCAGCTTCTTGTTCTTGTTGAGCTTCTTCAGGGCCTCGATGTCCATGTGGGGGATGTCCACGGCCTTGGCCTCGTCGCAGTGCTGCTGGTCCCCCAGGACACACACGGAGAACTTGGGGCGCGGAGTGGACTTGAGCCTGCGTTTGGGGGACGGAGCCGGGGCCGGTCACGCGCGGCCGGGGCGCGGGGGCAGGCGACGGGGTCTGGGACCGCGGCGGAGCCTTACCCAGCGCGTCCGGTCACCGGCAGCTAGTCTGGCCTCTCAGACCAGCCGGCGGGCTCGGCCAAGGCCTCCCCACGCCTCCCCTCTTGTTTCAAGACCCAGGGTGGGGGTCCGTCCAGCCACGCCCGCGGGGAGCAGGGGGCCGAGGTGCCAACCTGACGGTGCCCGAGAAGCGCTTGTCCTTCTGGGGGTCATAGTTCTTCAGGCTGATCTGCAGCTCCACCGTCTCCAGAAACCTTGGGGACAGGCAGCGTCAGCCGGCCGCCCGCCCGCCCGCCCCCGGCGCGCCCTCCCCGCCGCCCGCCCCGCGGCAGCCCGCGCTCACTTCCGCCGCTTGCGCTGGTTCCCGTGCAGGACTTCCCGCACCGCCTCGTACAGGGTGTCGCGGGAGACTTTGCTGCTGCGGGAGAGAAGCGAGACGAGCGCTCAGGCTTCCAGACACGGGGACATGGCTCCCCACCCCACGCGCCGGGCGATCTGGGCCCAAGCACCAGATGCAACCCCGGGGAAGAGGGACTCCAACGGCGGCCAGGCTCGGCGCGCGAACTTGAACGCCGGCGCCCGGCCAGAAATGCCCCGCAGCGAAGCAAGGGTAAGGACCCCCCACCCGGATTCCGCCCGCAGGGTCTCCGTCCCCAGAGGGGCGCCCAGAAGCCAGGATGACCACGGATAGCATCCTAAGCGCCGCTCACCTCATGATGCCTCACGCCGCAACAACCGGAAAGAGGCTATGGGATTTGCGCATGCGCTCAAATAGGGACTTCGTTCTCGCGAGAGATGCCTTCTTCCTGTGGTTTCTCCCCTGAGCTCAGCGGCGTCCCTCAATCCAGGAGAGCGCCGCCATCTCCGGCCGCTGGAGGGCGCTGCTGTGAGCCGCGGCGAATGACCCACGCGAGGACCGCTTGAGATGCTACAGTCCAGGCGCCCCGCGGCACCCTGTGAATATCCCCATCTTCACTAGCTGCTGCCAGGCCCTTAGGGAAGAGGCTGGGGCCAGGGGTCGAGCTTCAGTGGTCACACGTACTGGGTACCGCACTCTGATGACAGCTGAGAGCATGCAAATCCCGCAATCTCTGCCCACTTCCTCCTGCGCTCCGCACCTGCTTCAGTTCTCATAAGCAGGCTTTTCTCCTGACCTCTGTCCCTCATAATCTTGTTCTAACCGGGCCTCACAGCTTCCGAGGAAGTTGTGAGAAGAAAAAGGTCTAGAAAGTTTTGTTTCCGGCTCCTCAAAGCTTGCAGTGGGGAAGAGCTGGGAAGGTACTGGAATGAACTTTCACCTGATACTTGATTCAATGACATCTACCTGTTGTGGGGTTTTTTGGCTATTCAAAATGGTTAGCAAGCAGCACAAAAACAGTTCATACAATCTGTTTGTTATCCTCAATGACAACCCTGTTCTGTGTTTCTCTAGATGCTTCAGCCTTTGCATGAAATGTTCTCTTCAGGCAGCTGCAACAACCCCCTGAAGGCATAATTGTTAATCTTTTGGTCCCCACGAGGCAGTTAAAATCCTCCAAAATCCATCCTGGCTCTCACTCTCACCCTAAGGGCCATTCTGAAAGGATGTCGTTTGCCAGATCTCTGCCCTGTTTCTAAGGGAGGGGAATACCCCCCAAATCTTTAGGCAATTCACAGGTATCAAATGTCAGCCGTTTCAATGATGAGAGCCCATTTCTAACATGTTATATAAAGGAATATGTTATATAATAGGAATAATTCCTGAAGGGCTTATAGTAGGTGCTTTGGGAGTGTGACCTTGCTGATTAAATACCAGCTGAGCACTCCTAGAATGTAAATTCTTGTTCACAAACATATTTAGATAAAAAACAAGAATGTAAGCTCCATGAAGGCCAGGGCTTTTTTGTTCACTGCTGTATCTGACCTATAGTAAGTCCTCAAAGATTTGTTGAATGAATAAATATGCTGACTCTGCTGAAGTATTTAAGTTGCAGACATTATAAAAATAAACATATTTTGGCCACAGCATTTTTTCTCTCCCCAAATCCCCCCAGTACATAGTTGTATATTGTAGTTGTGGGTCCTTCCAGTTGTGGCATGTGGGACGCCACCTCAGCATGGCCTGATGAGCGGTGCCATGTCCGTGTCCAGGATCCAACCCGGTGAAACCCTGGGCTGCCGAAGCAGAGCACGCGAGAGAACTCAACCACTCGGCCACTCGGCTGGCCCCCCGCCACAGCATTCTAAATGCAGCTACAGTAAGAAATAGGTTTGAAACATACAGTCCTATTTTAGGGAGTTCAAGAGCTTAAAAGGAAGAGAGGGGAAGCATCTGAGTAAGAGGACATGTACGCCGGCTTTCCAATACTGGCTGTTAGATACTCTCGCTAGGATGGTATTAATTTGGCAACCATAACAGAGGCCCGCGGAATCTAAAAATTACAGCCAATACGTTGTGGGCCTGCATTTTCTGTATAGCTTTTAACTCCTTTTCTCAAAATATTCACCCAGTTTGGGCAACAGTCATGCCAGCAGCAACAAAATTCCATCAGTTTTTAAAGTAAGTGTACTTTGAAAAGAGAGAATTCTAATTTGCAAAATTATGTAAATTAACATAACTTCAAATTATTTTATTTTTATGCTAAAACATGGAAATTATTTTAACATTCTTCCCTTGCTTTTAAGTAACTTATTTTTAAATATTTCACCTTATTATTTCACCATATTATTTGCATCATACTAAACCCTGGACAACCCTTAAAATGTTAAAGTAAGACATTACCGTATTTCTTAATGCATACACTAAACTTTTATGTATAAGTACTTTTATGTTCAGCCCCTGTAAAGCCATTAAATGTTTGGAAAAAGTTTTCAAACATGAATCACAGTCTAGTTTTTTTTATTGGCACCTGAGCTAACGTCTGTTGCCAATGTTCTTTTTTTCCTCGCCAAAGCCCCCCAGTACATAGTTGTATATTCTAGTTGTGGGTCCTTCTAGTTCTGCTATGTGAGACGCCGCCTCAGCACGGCTTGATGAGCAGTGCCAGGTCCGCACCCAGGATCCAAACTGGTGAAACCCTGGGCCGCTGAAGGGGAGCACATGGACTTATCCACTCGGTCACAGGGCCAGCCCCTCAGAGAGTCTAGTTTTAAGAACTTAGCTATGAATGGTGAGATCATCACGCATTTAATATAGTCCCCCAAATGAATGACAGAATGTGTAAAATAAAAAGAAGCTTCCTGAGATTTTGAAATTCTTCTGTCTTCTTTGTTCAAGAAACTTGTAGTCATTTTCAGAATCCACTCCAGAGCCAACGTCTTAATTTAGGTATCAGGCAAACCAATCAGGGCAAAAGATACACAAAGAAAACCACCGCCAGATCCAAGAGAATGAACAGCCAGAGATCCGACCAAGTAGGAGAGTTTTGGAAACCAGTCAGCCCCACCCTGAGACCATACTTTGTGGCTGTGCTGCTGCCTCCCAGCTTCTCCAAGCCTCGCCTGCTCCCAGGGACCGTCTCCACCATCTCCTGCTGCCACGTCCACCTCCATCTTGCACCAGTCGCCGCACCACAATCTGAACAGCTGCAAAACCCTCAGTTCCTGTTAAGTGTTTCCTAGGAGCGAGGCACCTGGGTAAGTGCCAAGGGAATGTAAAGATGTAAAACAGACATGCCCGCAGTATCACACATCCTTTCTACCCTTTGCTCTGTCCAACAGGCCCATCCTCCTCTCTGCCCACACTAACCCCAGGAGAGCCTCTGATCCCTCCTCAAACGTCATCTGCCCCAAAGCCTTCCCCTACTCCAGACTGAGTCCCTCCCACTTTCAACACCCATCCCCAGGGGTCGGTGCACGCCTCGCCTACCCAACAGACAGCTCTGATAGGTCTCAGCTGAGTGGTATCACACAGCATCTGGCCCACAGAAGGTGAAAGAATGAGCTTCAGAACTCTACCAACTTCCCCTCACAGAACACTTCACCAGGAAAAAGATGCCCCTCGTCACTGAGCAGGGTGGGGCGAGGAGGGGTGGTGGTGGTGCGTGTTGCTTTTCAACAAATACCCAGAGTTAATAGAAGACAGGCACTGCTTCTAATAAGACTACTGAACTTCCTGATTTTTATTAAATACTACTGATAAACTACTATTCAAGTCCGAAACAAGAATAGAGGATCATAACATACACTTGAGCACACGGGTCCCCCAGGGCTCCTGGAGCATCACTCGTCCACTCTGGGTTTGCTTTGACCCTACTGAGGCCTATGGGAAAGTTTCTGCCCCTGCAGCCTGAGGTAGAAGTGACAAGGAGTGAGCCCAGCGTCAGCAGCCCCTGGCCTCATCCAGCCCCCTTAGCCCAGGACCCTCCCTGCTGGCTGGGAGGCCAACATGGCCTGTCTGCAGCCTGGCGCAGGGAGGCCGTGGATCCCTGGGATGGCAGGCTCAGCCTTTACCCCCAGGCCAGGGGTCAAGGGGAGGTGCTGAGGGCAGAAGCGTCCTTCAGAAAACTGGTGAGGAAGCTCCAGGAGGCAGTCCCTTGGTGGATGGTCAGGGGGCCAGGTGTCTGAGGGCAGCCTGCAGGGACTTCCTCAGGAAAGTGGCGTTGAGCTCGAGGGCTGCAGCCAGGCCCAGCCTCTGGGTTTCAGTGATCTGGGGAGAAGGAAGAATCACGTCAGGCCTCCAGCAGCGAATCCCTCCCCTCTCCCCTCTGCCCCTGGGCTCTGTTTAGGGAGGAGAGAGGAATCCAGGACACAAGGGCGATGGAAGGAGATGACTCCCTGAGCGGTCGAACCTCACTATTTCACCGTGGTTAAGCAAGGTCTTTGGAGTCAAGCGGACCCGGGGTCAGATACTAACTGCACAACTTCCTAAGTCAGCCAGGCTAATCACAGGTGACAGTTACTGGGGGCTTACTATGTGGCAGCACTTCATACGTATGACTCCATATAATCCTCATTACCTTCCCATTTTACAGACGAGGAAACTGAGGTTCAGAGACACTCCACTGCAGCTGCCACCTTCCTTCTGGGCCACACTTCTTCCCTGACTTGTTGGTACACCTCCTGAAAAGTCTCTGCCCTGTACCTTCACTCTCCAAGCCCCACTCCTTATAGAGGCCAGAAGCTTCTTTATAAAATGCAAATCTGACCAAGTCACTCCAGGTGAAGGCCCTGGGATGCCTCACATCGGAGGTCCTTCTTCCAGGTTCTACAGAGGGTCTCCAGAGGATCCAGGAGCCTCCCGAAATTGGGCATAAGATGTGTGTTCACCTTTTCATTTTCCTGGGAAGAGCTATAACTTTCATCAAATCATCAAATGGGCCTGTGACTGCCAAGAAAAGGGTAAAGAGCCAACAGCCAAGAACACCTGGCCTTCAAGATAAAGTCCAAGGTCCTCACCATAAACCACAGGGCCCTCCGTAAGATGCTCCCATGGCCTAGCAATGTGACCTCGAGCAAGTTACTTTAATCTCTCTGAGTCTTAATTTCCTCACCTATGAAATGGAGCTAATAACGGTATCTTCTCATAGGGCTAACACGTGGAATAAACTAGTGAGTTAACATATGTAAAGGGCTCAGAACGGTGCCTGAGATGCAGGGGCCGTGTATTTTAAGCCTAACCTCATCCCCTACCACCACCCACTCGCATGTTGTGAGGCCCCAGCTACGAGGAACTACCCAGACCCCCTCAGAGGTTCGCTGCTTACACTGTTTCCTTTGCCTGTGATGCCCTTCCCTCTGTGTCGCCCCCTGACTAGCACTCACCCTTTAAGAGCCAGGAAGCCTGTCCCAATTCCCAACAACAAACAAGGTTTAGTCGGCCCTCTTCCTCTGCTGCCAAATGCCCTGTGCACGTTTCTCACCTGTCTCCTGCCGGATGTTACAATGATCTGCTTGTCATCTCTCTCCCCTCTCGCTAGCCTGGCAGTGGGGGAGAGAGTCAACTCAAGGACAGAGACTACACTATGGTCACCGTTGATTCTCCAGGCCCCATACAGCATCCGGCCCACAGTGGTGCTGGCTGGCTGGCTGAATTCCTAAGCAGTCTCATTCCCCAGTCCTGGGCTTGACCTTGGGGTTTCTCTGCCTAACACTCAGGCTTTCCTCCCTGGCAAACATCTGCACACCCTCGTGGCGGGCTCAGAGCAGCAGGACCAGCCCTCGCGGCCCTATCAACACTCACGTTGGCCTGATACTTGGTCAATACTGTCAGCACGAGCTTGGCATAGGCCAGGGATGTGGTGGCCGCTGGCCCCTCTTTACAGAGGTTCTCCATCAACACATTGAACTTCTCCGGGGTCATCTCCACCTGCACACATTGGGAGATGAGACAGCAGCATGGGACAGGACCCTGGATTCAATCCCCAATTCCACCACTGCCTAACTAGGTGACCTTGGGGAGGTCACTTAACCAAAGCAAGCCTCAGTTTCCACATCTGTAAAATGGGGCTCACAATATGTAACTCTGAAGACTGTGAAAAGGATTAAATGCAATAACGCTCATAAAGCCTGGCACAAAGGTCTCAGAAAATGGTGGTTATTGTTGCAAAGGCTCGGACAAGGACCAAGGGGAGGCCAAGGATCCCCAGCCTGGCTTAGTGGTGAAAGACATAAAGGAGTGACGGGTCCCAAGGGGTATTGCCAGCAGAATAGCTCTTCACAATCATAATTTAATAAGCACTTATTACGCATCAGGTGCCGTTCTGAGCACTTTATGCCAATTATCCCACTTAAACCTCACCCCGGTCTTATGCGGGAGGTGCTATCATTGCTCCCCTTTTCTAGATGAGGAAACTGAGGCATAAAGAGGTTAGGTCAACTACCTAAGTTATAAACAAATGAGGCAGAATTTTAGGTACTGATACAGAAAAGCTGCCAAAATATAGTGTTAAGTGAAAAGAGCAAAGGACAGAGCACTGAGCTTGGTGTGTTGCCATCTATGTAAAAAGCCAGGGAAAACTAAGTTTAAACACGTGTCCTTGTACATATAAAGCATCTCTGGGAGAGTCCCCTGAAACTAGTAACACTGACTAGTCCCAAGGAGGGAATCTGCAAGGCTGGGGAGTATTTCTCACTATATCCTTTTGAGCTTTCAAAATGGTGAACATAATGAATCTATTACCTATTCAAAACTTAAATTAAACTCACACACAAACATCAGAAAGCCCTCCCGAAGGCCACACAAGCAGTAAGAGGTGGGGCTGGGATCTAGCATGCAGGCGGCCCCTGCTCCCAGCCTTTCAAGCCCCAGGACTCTCCCCTTCACAGGGCACCTGCTACAGGGCAGCTCTCCTGCCTTCTCCTCCATCTCCAAGGGGACCGGAAACCCAGGAGCGCCACGCCCATGCAAACACTGCAGCACTTCCTTGTCCATCTTCCCCAAGGCAGCCTGCTCACCTGCCGCTCCAGGAGCGACTGCAACACCAAGGACGTGTGCTCCTTCCAGGGCAGCTCCAGGATCTGTCTGCAAAGCACAGGCCCCGGTGAGGAAAGCCAGGTCTCCCAGCCAAGCCTGGGTAGCTACTGCTCCCACCCTTGCCAGGCAGTGCAAGGCCCTGGGGACAGCCAAGATCCCCAGCCAACAGAGGAGGCAGTCAGAGCCCCTCTGATGCTGGTGGCTGCCCAGAAGCCACTGCTGCAGAGCCCATGCTCAGTGCTGGGAAGGCCACAACCCGAGACCCCCGGGAGCTGACAATGAAGGATTTGGCAGTGAGATATACAAAGACCCCCTGAAAAATAACGAGGAGTGGAGAGTGCATGCTGAGTACGAAAGTGAGGGTGACCCAGGGAAGAGGAGGATGATGGAGTGAGGTGACACACATGAGGCTTCCCGGAGGAGGCAAGCCTTCCTTGCAGAGCCCACCGCAGTGAGGTCCACCCCAGCTGCGCTTGCCCTTCTACTGGGCAGCCCTCAGACTGTTTGGAAAGGCAGCATGTCACATGGCAACGGTGTGGCTTCTTGGGTGCGCAGATTTGGGTTGGATCCCAGGCTTTCTCATTGTCTGGCAATGTGACCTTTAGCCACATCCCTTAACCTCTCTGAGCTTCAGTTTTTCCATCTCTAAGGTGCCAGTCGCCCCTATCTCAGGGTTGCATGAAGACTGAGATAACGAATCTAAAGCACAGAGAAAGTGCTCTGTAAGTGGCGGCTGATACTATTTTTGAGACTGTCCTCTTCTCATTTATTCTTAGCACTTTACGTTTCATGTCAGTGTCCAATGGGGTCTTACCTACTTATTGTTTCTACATGTCTGTATCTTGATTCCCCAATTTTAATACCCAAATTTAACACCAATTTAATAATAATTTTTGAACACATACTAGGTGCCAGATATGTGCTGAGCATTATCACATTTAATATCTAGAAAAATTCTAGAGTGAATTATTATCCCCACTTTCCATATGAGGAAAAGGAGACTCAGAGAGACGGAATAATCTGTTTGAACTTACACATTTAAATAAAAGGCAAGGTTGAGATTTGAAACCATGTCTGTCTGACTCCAGAGCCAGTGGTCCCGACCTCTGTGCCATGTGCCAACTACGCTGTGAACTACTCAAGAGCAGGGAGCACCAGCCCCCTCTCTGCATTCCCCAAGGCACCTGGCGCTGACGACTGAAACCATGGGCTTGGAAAGGTGCAGGGGCCGGCAACTTGCACAGGCCCACAGATGGGAGGTGCAGGCCAGGGTCAGGCAACAGTGAGAGAGGCGTCTGCTGTGCCACTGCCTGTCTTTTGGGGCAAGTCCTGGTGCCCAGGCGGCTCCCACTCCAGAATGCCAGGAGCAGATGTGGCCAGGGGAAGGAGGTGGGAGGGGGTGGCATGGAGACCGTACACTCACCCCAGCATTAGAACCTGCACATCTGGCTCCAGGGCCTCATCCTTCATAAGGCAACACAGTAACTCTATTTGAGCTGGACCTGGGTAGGGGACAGCAGAGAGGAGAAGTCTAGGGGAAAATGGCAGGAGAGGATGGGACTAGTGGGGAACAGAATGCCTGGCTCATTATAGGGGGCATTGTCAGGGAAGCAACAGGTGTCTTTACTCATTGGGCACCCAAATCCTGCCAGGGCCACCCTGGGGTGAAGCGTACTGGGAAAAGAGCAGGCAGAACTACCAGGCCTGGGGCTGGTCCCAGAATTACCTGTTTCCGGGGCCTGGAGCACGGGGCCAACGAGGGCTCTGCAGACAGGGTAGGTATACTTGGCACAGAAGGAGGTCAGGGCAGTCGTGAGCAGGCGGGAGGCTGAGGAAGTCAGGGAGAGAACCTACAGCCAATGGGGAGGAAGAAATTAATTCATTCACTTCTTCTTACCTTCAATAAATGTTTATCAGACACATTCTGTATTTCAGATGGTGATAAATGTTCAGAGAAAAAAAAAGTTCTTTTATCTCGGACTCAGATGGACCCACCCAGTGGAAAAGACACACAGCTCCCTGCCCCAGCTCCCAAATCCCTGATCCCGAGTCCCAGATCCCTTCAGCTTATGGAAGGGTCTGAGGCCCAAGAAGGAGCAGTTATGTACCATGTGGGTAGATGGCCTGGGGGACCATGCCCTCCCCTTGCCCCAGGCGGCCCGGAGAGGCCAGATGCCCACGAGGCTGGAACCTCCTCTCCAAGTATCACCCTTCTGAGGGCTCAGACTCTCCCCCATTGACCCTGGCGCTCTGAGTGCATCCCAGTGCACCTACTCGCCCAAGAAAGAGGTTCCTGGTCAGCACAGTAGCATTGCTGAGGCTAAGATCTGGTGACAGGGACAGCAGCCAGGTGCAGAGCTGCAGGAGACCTGTGTCCGAGAGCTGGGGGAGCTGCAGCTGGGCACAGAGCAGGTCCATCTGCCAGGGAGGAAGACGGGCACAGGGACACTCATCTGTCTCTGCTGGGCTGTCTCAAGCCAACTAGGCAGCAGGAGGGGGAGGGCAAGGACACTAGGGTAAGGTGAGGCTGGGAGAGACAACCTACGGGGAGGAACCAAGGGCTAACGCACCCCTGCCTCTGAGACTAGCACACCCAACAAAAGCCCCTCCCAAATTCCCACATGAGACAGGGAAACAGGAAACATCAGTGGAAAAGGCTGGGAAGAGATGCATCCTGTATCCTCAGGGCCGGGCAGTTTTTCTGGACTCACCTGGCCAGGACTGCATTCGTGAAGAAGCTGCAGCTCGACCGGGGGGGTGCCCTCCAACCCCTCCAACCCCTGGGAAGGCAAATCCCACGTTAGGGCTGGGAGAGCCATGGGGACAAGTCATTGCGGCCACCCCTTCAAAATGGCAGAGAGGGTGGCTGAGGACCTGGGAGGTGCTACCAGAGAGGCACTTGTCTGGGGTAGATGACCTATCTGTACCCCGGCAGTGACTGTCCTCAGACCTTCACTCCAATCCCCCCTCCCAAACCGCCTGTGCCTCACGCCACTGGGGCTCCCTGGGCACGGCTGAGGTCCAGGCAGAAGGTGGAAGAAGGGCTCCAGGGAACAGGGCAGCGCCAGTCACCTCCCCGAAGGTCTTGAGCAGATGCTGCAGCCTGGGAACCTGGTCCTGCAGAGGAGAGCCCAGTCACTGCCAAGTCCCTCCCAGGGCAGCGTGGCCCCAAACTCAGCCCCGGCTCCCTCTCCTGAGAAGGCCCGAGGTCAGCGGGAGCTGGGGGGCAAAGATGATTCAAGAGAGCCAAGAACACAAAGCCTAAACCTTGAAAGGTGCTTAAGAACTCAAACCAGACAATGCCATGTAAATCCAGCTGCCTCAACTTGCCTTCTCTGCATCCACCCGAACAGGGATAGACCCAGGCTTTGGGCTGGGAGGGCCGGCTGAACGCTGGCACGATTTGCCCCACTCCAATAGGATGGGGTGGCAGGGGTGGTTCCGGAGCCTCTCCTCTTCCTGGCACCCTTTAACCTCCCAGTATAGATTGCCAGGCCAAGGGTTTCCCACATCGATAACTCATTTCCCCACCCCCTCCTCAGAGTGGGGGGCAGACTACATTCCCTCAACCCCACCCTCCTTCCCCTTGCTCCATGGACTACAGTCGTTCCAACTGGGAAATAGGGTCCCAGATGGCTTTTGCCCTGGATAAACACCCCCCTCCTGAAGGATGGCTCTAAACCCAGCCTCTTCTCCCTAGTACCTGGATAGCTCTGGGCAACTCCAAACTCTCAGCCAGGCCCTTAGCATCCTCCAGACTCTGACCAGCCTCATTGGGCTCAGCCCCTGCGACAGGCTGGTCCTCAATGGGTGATGTGCCTTCTCCAGCTGCCAGGAATTCCAAAGCTTCATGTTCAGGTCTCTCCTCCTCCTGGCTTTCTTCTCCTTCCCCGTCTTCCCTGTCCAAACGCCGGAACCTTTTGGGGGCCCTCTCTCCCTCAGGACTGGCAGGTTCCTCCTCTGGCTCCTTTCTGCGTTTCCCGGGCTGCTGGGAGCCCTTGTCCTCCTCCTCCTTTTCTTCCTCTTCAGGGTCTGGAACCTGGGACAACTTCAACCTCCTGCCCCCCTGGCCCAGCCGCCGACACAGGCCTCGGAGCTGTCTCTGGCACCTTGTGGACAGTGGGGACGCTCCCTCCGTGGAGACTCCACCACCCAGATCCCTTCGCAGCAATTCCGCCAGGGCCCGGAGCCAGACGTCAGGGTCAGGGCTCGAGTCCTGCTGTGCAATCTGCAGCACAGGGAGGAGCCTGCTTTCAGGCAGCACCGGCCGAACAGCCATCAGCAAGGACATCAGGTTTCTCCGGCATAACGGGGGCAATCGCAGCAGCAGCGGTTTCCTGGGTAACAGAGGGAGGGCAAGCAGGTAAGAGCATCTTGCTGAAAGGAGCACAGGGCAGAATGGGGAGAGCTAGAGGCTAGAAGCCAATGGACAGACAGGGGGCTGGGAGGCAGCACCTGCGAGTCAGTGTGAATGAAGAGCATGAGAGGCATTCAACAAGTGCACACTGAACATCTCTTCTACGCTAGGCCCTGCTCTTTGACATCTCCGATTTCAGCTCAAAAAGTCATGTTGGAACCTACTCTATAATAGATCCATGGTTGTTTTATGTAAAAAAGAAAAAAAGTCCTTTCCCAAACCTTACGTAAAAATAATACTCCAGGATGCTGTGCAATGCTTAGTCTGTGGCCCTGTGCTCCCCTTGGCAACCCCTGGAACACACAGTGTTTCATCTGTCCAGCTGAGTTCCTGAGGCAGAGGCAGTGTCTGCTTCCTCTGTGTCCCAGCACCCAGCACCCAGCACCCAGCACAGCACCAGTCCATAGCAAGCACATGGTGCACATTTATTGAAAGAATTAACTAACTGAAAATAAGTGTCCAGAGATCAGCAAGGGCTGCTGTGGACAGAGCAATGTAGCCGTCTGAAATGTTGCAAAGGCACAAATCCAGATGCTGTGCGACCTGAGGCTTGGTGGCGTGGCAAGCACGTCATGGGTGCCCTGGCCCACCACTCATCACACCTCTGCTCCTCTCTATACACAAATTTGCAGGGCTGGTCATCATCGCACACAGAGGCACTTGGGATGTGTGAGAGAAAAAATGTGACTTTTATTTCCTTGTGGAAAACAAACACTAAGTGAGACAGAAAACTAGAGTAAAAGTCAAACAGACGGTCAATTTGCAGCGGAGGATATTTGGGAGTAGAGAGGTCAGGAAGACCCTACTCCAAGGGTTTTGAACTCTTTTTTTGTGCACGGATCCCCATATCAGAATAAGTGTTAAATGCATAAAATAAAATACATAGGGTTACAAAAGAAGCCAATTATACTGAAGTACTGTTCTATCCCGGGACCTCAGATTAACTCTCCCTCCCCTTACTCTGTCCAGAAAAAGCCAGACAGCTGGACAAGCATTTCTATAGCCTCCAGTGTGGGGTTTCAGAAAGTTTTCCTGACCCTTCTCTTGAAAGAAATTCAAAGTGGAGTGTGGGAAGAAACTATCAGAACTTCTACTTCTTCTTATCTAACATATAAGAAATTAAGTATTACAAATGTTTAACATATGGATTGGCCCTCCCTATCCCAGTGCCCAGTCTCATTCTGAGGGACGGGGATCCTAGAAGAGCAGAGGGACTGCACTTCAGTTCCCTAGAGGCTGAAGGCAGCATCTCGCTCACTTTTTTTTTACTTTCTGCATATTCCAGTTAATTATGATAGTTAAGTGGATTTATGGATACTCTATTATCTTTTTTTTAATAAACAGAACACTCACAAAATGGACACAAGGCTTATAAGGATGCCTGAAAAGAAACTGCATACCCATGACGGAAGCACACCAAATAACAAGAAAATGGCAGGGCTGACACTTCTGCTCCTAGTAGGAATTCTCTGTCAGCCACATAAAGAGGCAAAAAAAAAAAAAGAGTTCAGTCACCCAAAAGACTAGAAATTACCAAGAACACCATTCTTTAAGATCGGCACCAGAGCTAACGACTGTTGCAAATCTTTTTCTTTTTCCTGCTTTTTCTCCCCAAAGCCCCCCAGTACATGGTTGTGTACTTTTAGTTGTGGCATGTGGGACGCCACCTCAGCATGGCTTCACCTCAGCATGGCTTGATGAGCGGTGCCATGTCCGCGCCTAGGATCCGAACCAGCGAAACCCTGGGTCGTCTGTAGCGGAGCGCGCGAACTTAACCACTCGGCCACGGGGCCGGTCCCAAGAACACCATTCTGAAAGAAGTGATCTTGCCCTAAAATTCGTATGATGCTTTAAAAAAACTGATAAGGCCACCACGATCAGACGATTATCGCGTTTTAAATTTCTATTTTTGTACACTTTGTAACGTATTTCAGCACGCGTACGCTTATACGTAAGTATACTGATACTGGAGGCAGGAGTTCTATTTCTTCTAGAGATGGAAGCACACGATCAAAATCGACTTGCGTCCTCTGACTTCTAATTACTCACTTACACCCCGCTGAAGGCGTGCGCCCCCGTCGGGGGATGGCACTGGGCGGCACACAGCAGGTGCTCAGTGAAGGCCTGCTGGACGCCCCTCCTCAGGGGTGTGCGCCCGAGACTCCCTCGCCGGGAGGAGTTAATCAACCTCGCAGGCCTGGGTCTCCGCATCTAGAAACGGGGGTGGCGCCAGCCCCCGCCGGCCGCGAGCATGGAGGATGCAGGGCGGCGCCCCGCGCCACGCCCGCCGCGACCGACGACTTACAGCTGCAGGCGACAGTCCGGGCCCTCGACGACGGGCTCCTCCCGGCACAGCGCCTCGAGGACGCGGCCCCAGTCGAAGGGCTCCCGCGCCCGGCCGCCCAGCGTCCGCAGCACACCCAGGCCGCGCCGCGCGCCGTCAGGCCCCGCTTGCAGCGCCTGCAGCAGGAAGCGCACCGGGGCCTCCAGGTGCGCCCAGGGCGCCGCCTCCGCGCCCTCCGCCGCAGCGCCCGCCGTCTCCGGGGCTGCCATGCCGGGGGTTCCGGGGCCCGCGCCGCCCCGCGCTCTGATTTCAGGTCTCAGCTCTGAGGCCTGGAGAAACGCGGGAGAACTCCAAGGCCGGCCCCGGTGCGGCACTGGGCCCAGTCCCGCGGCCGCCACATTCCCTCCTGGCGCCCGGAACTCCGGGAGCCCGTGAGGTTCGCGCGCGCTCGGACAGGAAGAAAGGGGGCGTGGCGGCCGGGGGCGGGGCCGGACTCGAGGCGGGGCGCGAGGGCGACTGGAAGGGGCGTGGCCAGGGATGGTTCCCGCCAGAGGGTGGGAGGAACGGAGTAGGGGGCGGGGCGAGGGCCCTGAGTGTCTCTGTGGACGGGGCGGGGCCAGATTAGGGGCGGGGGCACAACGGAGGAGTGAGTTTGTGGGCGTGGTCGTGCTCCAGATAGCGCGTGGGCGGGGCTTGATGGAGGGGCGCATCCTGGGCTGTGGACCCGAACCTTCTTCCCTCCTGCTCTGCTCCCTGAAGTGGGGACCTAGGGATGCAGAATGAGTGTCAGCGATCCTGTTATACTTCGGGATCCAAGCATCATTTAATTTTAGCTGACACCCATGTTTCGTGTAGATCACGGGCCATGCGATAGGATTTGATCTCAATTTACCACCTTACCTTCCCGTCACCTCTTCCACAGGCCATCAACTGCCATCATATGGGTTTCAGTCTTCTCCAGAAATATTTGATGGACAAATATCCCTGAGAATGAGGTCTCAGTAAAACCTACTGCCATCTATCTGCCAAAGACCTTGCTGTGAGCTTCCTTCCCAAAGGCCAAGCAGCAGCCTTGCTCTGGTTGCTTATAAGGGGCCAGGGGTGGCTCCACCTCCCAGGGTTTCAGTTTAAGGAAATCTGCCGGAGGAGGCAGTCTTCCAGCAAAGCGAGGGATCCCTGCAGAGGATAGGAATAAAGGGAGAGGGGAAAAGAGCCCCACAGCACCTCGTAAATCCTACTTTGGGTGCCAGCTTGTAAAACCCATCCTCCCAGCTCTGCTGCCACAAACATATCCATTCCTTCAAGAAATCTTTACTGAGCACCTAGGGCTGGGAATATGGGGAAACAACAGGGGACATTGTTGCTGACACTCAACTGGGGAGACAGACAACTGTATAAGCAGACTATAGAAGGTTTGATTATGATGAGTGCTTTCAAGAAGAACTTAGCAGGGAAGGGAGATAGAGTGACGCAATTTTAAATAGGTGTTCAAGCAAGATGAACCTGAAGGAAATGAGGGCACAAGGCCGGTCGAGGTGTGTGAAGAGACCATTTCAGACCGAGGGAACAGCAAATGCAAAAGCCCTGGGCAGAAGCGTGGCTGGAGCAGAATGCACTTACTGAGGAGCAGGGAGCAGTAGGAGAGATCAGAGGTACCTGGGCGTCTTGTGAGGCCTTGAGGCCATAGGGAGGGCTTTGTCTGTCACCCTGAACAGTACGGGAAGCCATAGGAGCTGTTTAAGCTACATCTGATTTCCATGGAGCCAGAATCTTTATTTTCTCAAAAATGATTTCGAAGGAGCTGTTGGGAAAGACTAAGGAGTGTTTCTTAGATAGTGCCTGCTTTGCAAAGGCCAAAATAACAGGAAAGAAGTTTCTGCCCGGCACCTCTATCTCAGGTTAGCAATTCCAAATTCATGGATGTTTTTTGTGTTCAAATGACCAAGTGTTGGCATTGGGAGTGGGGGGGGGGGGGGGGGGGGGGAGGGCTTGGGAGGCCCTGACAAGTAACGGGCAGGGCCGAGAATGCTAGACAGCCTTCAGTGCCCTGCCTATCCTCAACCACCCGCTGCACCCTGTAGTGGCTCTGGCTCACGCCCACCAAGTCTGCATTCCAGCTAGTGGGAAGGAGTGCAGGGAGGGAAGTTCTAAGGTGCTTGAAGAGCCCTGGGGGATCCTCGAGACCCAGTCATGGGATCCGTGACGTCATTACTATTTTCACAATGCTAAGATGTTATTTGCCCTTTCCGTTCTCATTCCCTGTGAGTGTAAAGTGAGGTTTTCCAGAGGCTGAGTGCCTCAGATTGAAAGCAGAAGCCCCCCTTGGTGGGGGTGCGGGTGGGGCCCCTGGGCTATGAACAGACGCTCTTCAAACACCAGCGGTGACGGCTTGAGTGCATTTTATTGGTTTTCTTTCAGAATCCTTCTACAAAAGAGCAAAGTTAAAAACCAAGTCCCTGAAGAGGGTGAGAACTCTTCCTCTTTCCCAAGAGCCTCACCCCTCCCCACATCCCCAGCTGTGTCACTGCTGCAGGTCATGGGGGGGAGTGGCTTACTTCTTTCATCCCCCACCAAGCCCCAAAGGGAAAAGACCTACCACCAAGCAACCCTTGCCCCTCAGCCCTGTCCCCCCACACTGGTCCTGGTTACAGGAGGCCATGGTAAGAACTGTTAGGATCCAGTAAGAGTTCTGAACCCCAGAAGGCCATGGCCAGGGCACAGTTGGTGAAGAACACTTCGTCCTCTGGCTCGGCGCCCCTTAGGAACGCTGTTGTGCCCAGCACCTGGGAGTAGAGAAAGAAATCAGTGAAAACCCATCAGCTTCAACCCCAGTTGCCCTGAGAATCAAGGCTGAACATAAGGTTGGGCAGGTTGTACATAGCACAAAGGTGCCACATCTAAGCAGTCACCATTAACATTCTAGACATCAGACATTTGTCACACTTATTATAAACCATGACCATTAGCCTCCCCTGCCCCATGTCCCTGCTGTTACCACCTCACTCCCAGAGGCCAGCTGCATACTCTCAGGCCAGGGAGGGTCAGATGTCGAGGCATTATCTGGGAGCTGGTGCAGGTAAATGCAGTCAGACTTGAAGGGGCAGCGGCCGTTCCCCCGCACAAAGAACCGGCAGTGGATCTGGCTGTGAGACGGCAGAAGGAGAGAGGATCATCGCCTTCAAGCCCTGCTGCCCCAGGAGGTAGGGGCACTCAAGGCTGACACATAAGGTTGGGTAGGTTGTACACAGCACAAAGGCACCACCACAAGCGTCACAGGATAGATTTTACATTTATTACAACTACTTTCCTGCAGATGGCAGTCAAGTGTCTTAAGGGATGCCTTTCTCTAATTCCCACAGTCTCTGTTTGGGCCAGCTGTAATCCCGGGAATCTCTTTTCCTTCGCTGAACTAAGTTTCAATAATGCTACCCAAAGGAGAGGAGGGTAGCAGATAACCCTAAAATGTGTCTCCGAAACCAAGTTAGGACAATGTCCTGGTCTGAGGGGTGGCCTTATGAGCTGGTAATTGCTCGTTAATGAAATTGATTAAGAAGCTTCCCACTTCTGAGATTTCAAATTTCACTCCATGAAAGGTCAAATACAGGAGGGGTTTGTGGGCAACTCGTGATCCACTTGAGGAGGACCAGCATTCTCCTCAAAGAAGGAGAGATGACAGAGAAAGGCAGATGAGAAGGAAAAAAGGATAGCGCGCATGTCTGTAGCCTTTGTCCTGCATTATCACTGCTAGACTCCAGCACACTTGAGTCTTCCCCACTTCCCGCAGCCCCAGTGTGAATGCAGGACCCCAGGGACAGCCCAAGCCGGAAGCCTGGGGCTCCCTCTAAACGACTAGCTCTTCCTCTCCCTCCTCCTCCCATTTGACCGAACGTAGAGTCAGGACCCCTCCATCCGGATAACCGGCAAAAAGCCCACCCTCGACCTGTCCAAATTCCCACCAGCTTCCCTCCCCCGGGTCTCATGTGAGGTATCAGTCCCGTGGCCACCTCTGCTGGAAACGTTAGTCATCTTAAATTTTCCTTTCAACCTCACGGTCGTTTGGCCACCCAGGTCTGGCCCTTTTCCTCTCGAGTCAGTATCCTCCCTACCACTCCTACGTGTCCCGCTATGAGTCAGCACACCTGGGTTCACACCCCACTTCCTTACTTAAGTCATGCAGACCATGCCTCAGTTTCTTCTTCCACGGCGTGAGGACAGGAAGTGTCCCCGCTTCATGCAGGTTACGAGGCGCCAAGTCTGTCATACATAACGAACCCTATCTGCACCGTCTCCCGTCCTCCCCGGGCCTGGGTGCGCCCCTCTGGCGTCCCCGCAGCCAGGATTCCCCACTTCGACCGCTCTCTGCCTGGTGTGCTCTCACCTTCTCCTCCCGAGGAGCCCCTACGCCTCTCCCGGCACCTGGCTCAAACACTACGCCGTCTGAGAGACTCACCCAAGTTTTTTCTCAGTGACCTTGTTGACGCAGCGATTACAGTTTACAGGCAAATCCAGGTGTCTTCCCAACAAGGTTGAACGTCTCACAGGTAGAGACAAGACCCCCTTTATCCCACCCTTTATCCAAAGATACTTTGCATATTTCAACTGTAATAAACCCTTTGGGAGAGTGGAATTAAGAACCTGGAATTATAGCTAATTCCAGATTTTGCATCAATGCCTACACTCCCCGAGAGATTAAAATCCAGCCAACTTTTCCCTGTCTCCCAAGGCTGCCTTTTAGTCTCCCTCTCAGAGACCTCATGTTTTCTTTCTTTTTTTTTTTTTTTGAGGAAGATTAGCCCTGAGCTAACTACTGCCAGTCCTCCTCTTTTTGCTGAGGAAGACTGGCCCTGAGCTAACATCCCTGCCCATCTTCCTCTACTTTATATGTGGGATGCCTACCACAGCATGGCTTGCCAAGCGGTGCCATGTCCACACCCGGGATCCAAACCGCCGAACCCCGGGCCGCCAAGAAGCGGAACGTGCGAACTTAACCACTGCGCCACCAGGCCGGTCCCAGAGACCTCATGTTTTCAAAGATGACCTAAGCAACCAACACGTATTCGTGTCAATTTACTTTCCTGCTTAAAAAATAAATAAAAGCCAAGCAGAGCTTCTCCTTGCCCTGAGCGAGGCTGAGTTGCCGGCATGGATCCCGAGCGAGGCTAGAGGAGAAGCTGGGCCTTGCTCTTCAGCGGCTGTCTCAGTCACTCGCCATTATTTACTGGGCTTTCTGCAATAGTGGAAACAGTTCACACCCTTGCCTGCCATCTCCATCACTCTGAATTTCCAGGATTTGGGGGATCCCAGGCTGGGAACCGTGGCTGAACCAGAATGGATGAGGGGCCGTCTTCCCCCCCTTCCTAGCCCCAAATCACGTTCCCCCTGCTAGCTTCACCTGGTCCGAGCCTTGAAGTTCCTGATGAGTTGTTCCTTCTCAGCCCCTTTGCTCACCCAGAATTTGTGGGG